GTATTGTGTTAAATAAAAATTTATAACAAATGATAGTTGTAATTTCTAAGTATTATAGGACCAATTCTTATTTTAAACAAACATTATGGGTATATTTGTAATTTGTTAAAAAATAAAAGATTTATATTTTATAATTAACCAAGAATGTTTGCATAATTATGAAAAAAACCTGTTTCATGATTGACCAAGAATATTTGTGTAATTACAAAAAAACCTTTATTCAACATATGAGCCACCATTAGTAAATTATTCAAAATGAAAGGACAAAATCGAAAAAAAAACTAATTTCAAGCAGCTAAACGGTTCTTATATGTATTGACTAGTTTGAGAAGGCCCGTTATTACAATATATTTTAGTTTTATATTTTGATAATTTTAAAAAAATTAAAATACGATTATTCTATGAAATTAAATAGAATAAATCATTAGATATATAATAAAATTATGTGATATGATATGTATTATTTTTTAATTTGTTATAAACTTAATAATGTAAACTCCAATTCTATTAGTATATCATTTTGGTTAGATTTATAAGTCTTTAACATTTTTTCAGAATTTATAATAAAAAAAATTATGATGTATGACTTTTTTCAACAAATAAATATAAAATAAATATTAAAATAATTCACTCAACTAATAAAAAAAAGTAAAAGCCTTATGCTTTGTAAGGCATTCTCTCACCATCAAGAATAAAACGAAAAAGCAACAAGAAGCCTTATGATTAGTTACGTACGTTACTACAATTTTTATTTTATTTTTTTCAAATTTAAGAATGACTTATTAAAATCTTATTTCTTCTTCTGTAAGAACCTCAGTCGTTCTCTTTCTTTTCTCTTTTGAGGGAGAGGGTGTTATTTTTAACATTCCTCTCCCCTCTATTTATGTTTTTGTGGGATTTTAATTTTCAAAAAACACTTTTTAAAAAAATTATTTTTTATTTTTTGTATTTTTTTTTGTTTTTAATGAATTTTAAGTAATTTTTTTAAAAAAATTTTAGACACATCTAACATAAATATACTTAAAAAGTATAATATTTATAACTAAATACCAAAAATATTAAAAAAAAATACGAAAATTCAATACATTTTTCATATTTTTTGTGTATTTATTAATTTTTTAAAATATTTTTTCACAAATGTTTTACTGCTTAGATATATCTAAGTAAAGTGCATCTAAAAAAGAAAAAAAAAATTGCTTAAAGTTTAAAAAATATTCATTAAAAATAAAAAAAAATACGAAAAATAAAAAAATTCAATTTTTAGAAAACTGAATTCAAAAAACTAAAACTAAAACACTGATTTTTTTTTTCTCTGTTATTAGCTTGCTAGTGAGGAAGCTTTCAAATCTAGTCTCAGATCTGATTCATGACCGAGATTTAATACTATTAAGCGTGTTGTTATAAACTAGACGACCACTTTAGATTCATAATATTTTATTTTGTTTTTTGTGCAGCAATAATATCTTTCTATGTAAAGATTTCCTCCTTTCATGGAGGTTTTTTCCTTGCTACATGGAGGTTTATTTTTCTTCTTATGTGGAGACTTATATTCTCCTTGCGTTGATTCTGTTTATTGAATGTGCAATATATTAAAGCCTTGTATTTTTTCATAAAAAATTTTTTACGTTTTTATTTTCTAATATTTGATTTTGTTTTTATTTTTTTGTTTGGTAACATTTTCATTTTTATATTTGTTCTCATTGTGAAACATTTAATATGTTTACTACAATAAATAAGAGTTTTAGAAATTAAACTTTTTGTTCTCACAAATGAATTTCATTGTAAAAAATATTTGGGAGTCAATTCATGTTGTTACGAGAATAGTCACTAAAAAGTCATTCTAAAAAGTTTTAAAAAATTAAAAAATGTTGCTAATAAATATATTTTTTTTAAAAATAATAATTTGGTCATAAGAGGTTTATTTTTTAGACAATTTGTGTCCCTAAATAATAGTAATTCATTACCAAAAGTACAATAATGATATTTTTGTTAACAAAAATGTTTTATCTTATAGTGATTTTATCATTAAATTTTTTGTCTCTAAGCCTGTTTGTCTTGGGTGGTAGATGAGGGAATGGTATTAACTATTAAGATAGATATGGGACCAATATTTGTTTACTGGCATAGGAGGGGGAGATTGGATTGCTAGGGCTATGGGTCCCATCCATAATGTGTTTGATGATGATTTGGAAGAGGGGATTGATGGTCCGATAGGTTTAGTAATCCCCCTCAATAGAGGGATTAGCTTGGTTGGATTTTAAGTAGAATTAGAAAAATAATGAACGGAATGAATCTATTTTATATAAAAATTTTATTTTTTTAATTTTATTTTTATTTTACCAAGTGCACCTATTTGTTTTAGTTTTTTTTAATATAGATATATTTTATTTATTTATTCTATATGAAAATAATTTAACAATTCCATCACTAACTATCTTCCACACTATCATCAAAACAAACACACTTTTACTTAATCTCCTTACTAACAATTCTCATATTAACAATCTCTTCAGTAACCATCTTCTCACTAACAATCTCATCCAACCTAATCCGCCAAACAAATGTAACCTAATAGTATTTATTTGCAAAATAGAGAAGGGGATTCATAGTCCCTTAGAGCATCCACAATGGAATGGCTAAAATTGTTTGTTAAAGTGTGTTATATGACAAAAAGTGATAAATGTGGGACCAAAAAATGTGCGTAGAGGTGTGTTAAGAGTTTATTAATTTTAGAGATTGAGTAATGGTGGTGCAATGGACTATTGTTTTTTTATACAAAAACTTGTTGGGCATTGTTTTTTTAAATGTTTAATGTGTTTTTTATTGCATTTTTGTTTTTTTTTTTAATATTATTTTATGGGCTGTTATTGAAAAATAATATTATATTTTTTGGGTTTGGAACAAACCCAACACCCTCTCTCTCTCTCGCTGGTTAAAATGGTAGCCGCAGTTAACACACAATGCTAATGGCTGACACTAACACACAAGTTAGTAGCTCCATTACAACACAAAACAGTGTTTTTAACTAGCCAAAATTTGGCCACTGACACTAGCACACCCACTAATACATCTATTATGGATGCTCTTAGGACTATGATATGACTTGGAAGAGGGAATCATCAAAGGCCTCAAAGGGTTGGATTTCAAAACTAATGAAGAGATTAGCTTGCAAAAAGACTATTTTGCTCATATTGTGGGTGTATTTGTGCGCACGTGTGCGTTTTGTTTTGTTTTTTGTTTTTCTTTTGTGGTATTATGTTATGATATATACATATATTAAAATAATATAGTTCAATTTTTTTATATATAAAATATAATTTTTTAATATTAAAATATATCAAAACCACCTAAAGATATTTATGGTATTTCATATAATTAATCCTCTCACTAAAATATATCACAAACAAACATAATTTTTCTTAATCTCCTCACTGACAATTCTCACACTAATAGTCCCCTCACTAACAGTCTCACACTAACAATTCTACTCAACCTAACTCTAAAAACAAACAAATCCTAAAACCTTAATTTATTGCACTGATTGTTTTTGTTTTCAAAGAAAATAAAATTAGTTTTAAATTTTTTATGATCGAACTGAAGATGTTTTCACTTATTTTCGAAACAAGTTTTCACTTCCTCCCTCTCCCACCACCTCATAGTGCTACCAGCCACCACCAACCATTGATTGTTGTCCCTCCGACGAGCTTCCGCCACCTTCTAATAGGCTTCAGCATTGAAGGATCACTGCACGTGACCTCCTACCACCAACTCTGACGGCCAATTCCTGCTATCTCCATCGCTAGCCACCCTCCCTCACTTTCAACAATTCATTAAACATGTTTCTTCATTTTTGCTGTTAAAATTTATTTACACCATAAAAGTTTCCTGTTAACCAACCCAACACCCCCCCCCAAAAAAAAAACGTTGAAGATCAAAAAAAAAAAGAAAAAACAACTGACATTGCTATCAAACAATGCCCAAAAAATCACAATTCAAGTTAACATCACGAGACAACAACAGTATGAATTGTACGACCCAAGCAAGAAGCATCTCTATTTTCAAATCATAACAATTATTTAGTTATGCTGTGTTTTGTTTATAGATTTGAAGAGAAATTTGAAAGTAAAATAAAAAAATTATAAATAAAATGTGAATAAAATATAAATATATTTCACATACCTTTTATGGAAGGAGAGTCATTCCTATGCTAAAGGCACAACAGTGATTGTTGTTCCTTAATTTGAAGTGTATTATGGACTTATTTTTATAATTCGAACCGTTCATTTTGTAAGATTTATTGAGTACTTCATGACTACAAAAAATCATATTAATCAAATATCAATAACTATATGATCTGTAATTAAAAAAATAAACAATAAATTTTTCTTTTGAGAAATAGTATAAAAAATATGTACTTCGATCATATATTTATTAATATCCGATTAATATGATTTTTGATAGGTATTAAGTACTCAACAAACCCTACAATATGAACGGTTCGGATCATAAAAATAAATTCTTAATACACCTCAAATTGATTGTTGTGCCTTTAGCACAACAGTGATCCTAATTCCACCTTTTTTTCTTTCCCTTTCAAATCCCCACACAAACCAATGAACCAAAAAAGGCCTCAAGAGCCACTAAAAATGTAGGATTCCGAATTTTCTCTTGTTCTTTGTGGCAACGAGGCAGAGTATGAGAATCCATTCCTTGTTTGCTGATATTTGACTTGAAAGTATGGCTTGGAATATAAACAACAATGCGACGTAAATTTTATACATAACGAAATTTTTTATGGGTCACAGATACTAAATACTTATTTCGGCATACCTTGATGAAATCAAATTGGTCCAAATTTTTTAGAAAACTTGCCATTTCAAATTTTGCTTCATTGTTAAAGTCAAAAAAAATTATAGAAAGATACAGGAAGGAGAAAGAATAATTACCTCCGAAATTATTCAATAAAACATTTGATTGGGCTAGACGTTGGGTTGTTGTTGAACAATGCGAGACCATACCCAAATTGCCCCTAATCATGATCACTTAATTACTCAATTTTATAGCTATTCTATATCAACTTACTGCTGCTTCACTAGTCGTCTAACAGAGTTGAGACTAGCAGATCCTGGAGAAAAACAACTCTTTCGGCAGCCTGTCTCTTTCTTTTTTCCCGCTTTTCATAACTCAATGATGGATCAAAATTGCACAGTAAAGAGAGAGAGATGTTCAAATTAGGACTTAAAAAGAGCAATGTTTACATCAGCTTAGGTGAATCAAATATGAGAAAATAGGTATTTCAACAAGTAGAAAATTCAATCTCTCGAGAACTTATTGAGCAGTATGCGTCTCTAGGTGCATCACAGCAACGGTTCTACCTAACCTTGCTTGGAGAAGATACATTTAAGAAGCAGAATGTCTAACATGAAAGACACTAAAAAAACATCCAGAACAAGTGAAGATTTTGAGTAAGAACGATACATTTTCCTAAAAATAAAAATGCCCAAGGCTGGACTAGGGAGACTGCCAATAGCCTATAAATAAAAGTCACACGCAAATTATCTTTGGAACATTAGAGGATAGGCCTATTAATCTGTACTTTGATGATTCCAATTTCTCCTAAAAAATTATCGAAACCCTATATTTAGCTTAAAATTTAAATAACAAACCATATTTGGATAGCAATGAAGGTGGTCAAGAATCACAATCTACCGGTTTCATTTTTTTTGTTCACTTAAAACAAAAAATATGCTATCGTTTATTTTTGCGAAAGGCAATAACAAATAGCATGTTTGGTACATATGTTTTCAAAAAAAAAAAAAAACATGTTAGGTGATTGTGGGGGAGTGGCCAGAAAGTGTTTTCTAGAGGGCAAGGGGAGAATAGGCAGCAGGGGTTGCCGGAGGGCAAGGGGGAGGGAATGAAAACTTGTTTTTTTCAATCATTTTCTGACAAAAAAATTTGAAAATTGTTCCATTTTTTGTCAATGAAAAAAATTACAAAACATATTTTTGTTTCTATTTTTGATTTTTTTAAAAACAAAAATGGAAATTAGAAAATAAAGATGTTACCAAGCAGGCCCTAAAATAATGGATATTAAACAAACGATGAGTAGATAGAGTGCTTAAAAATTGAAGGTTCTCTCTTATCATAGAAAATGATATAATCCACTACCTTGCTTTCCATCTATGCGATGATGTCACACTCTTAACGGAACTGTCATCAGCACTGGATAACACGGATTTCGAAATATCTTCTGATTCAGATGAAGGGAAATTCAAAATAAGAGAGGAAAGGAATGGATCAGTAACTGCATTAGATGAATTTGCATTGCTCGATCGATATCCACTGCCTCCTAAAAGAACCTGCAGATGCGCCTCACGAAGATCCCTTCCCAAGAGAGAGAGTGCCTGACTGTTGGGAATCGCAACTCTACGTAATCTGCGACGTCTCTGCATGTAATATCCAGTTAAAGAAAACCTCAATTGGTACCGAACATGGTTCTAAGGTTAACCGTACAGCAATTATGAATGCTGTTAAATGCTAAGGAGACAATAAATACACAATAAAACATTTCAAAGGATATCTTGAATAAATGTCCATGTTGCAGAGTGAAATGACTTAACATGTCACTCACAACTTTTATGGAGCATATGGGACAAACCTGCAAGGAAACAGAGAAAGCAGTGTGAGTTTCTTGTGACCAGATATTGATTGAAAAACACTATCATCAATCACTCCTAGGGGTAAGAATTATAAATAAAATAAACCTCCACGAACAATCAAGATGTTCACTTCTGTCTAGTTTCATTTTTATTTTTTTCAGAGGGATTGATGAACAATATACAGCATGGACCATCCCAATCAATATTTCACTTTCACACATCAGGAAGAAAAGCAGGACTATTTAAATTTGTCTACAAAATATATGAAGTTTTCTTTGGGGCTTTCAAGAGACCAAGTGCCTCAAATATTTTCATTCACATGCCTGTGCTTACCAATTTTTTTAGAAGATGATATGATTGCAAGCATCAAAAGGATAAAAGTAAACTCGGGAAGCCACAAGGGAAGAGCCAGGTTAAGTTGAGAATTGTTGCCGTTCAAAGATGTGGGAAGATAACACATACCACTAATAAGAGATGGTAGCAGGTTTCACCATCAGTGTGTTCAAGGAGTATGAACTGAGAGACGTTTTTCAGGCAATTAAATCATTCTCATGAAGAAAGTGAAAGCTAAGAAATGTTACATGTCCCAGATCCTATAATTAAACACAAACCTCACAGGTACAATTTGCGAGTCCAAACTATGCACAGTGAATAGAGAGCTTCATTGGCAAAACGGCAAGCTGCAAAGACTCCCATGCTTAGATACTAGAACCATTATCTCAAGACTACTGCAGTTGTAACTTGAAAAAGTGTAGTAAAATTGATTGGTTATATCTGGTTGGAGATGTCCCACCACTACCAAAACCCAAATATTAGTTTTTCAAGTCCTCACCTCAATCACCTATCCAACCATTTCCCACTGTAGCAAGAAATGGTTTGGGCACATACATCAACTGACATGATCATAAATTAACAAAGAGAATTGATTCAATGTTTGTTGGGAGATCAGATTACCTTTTCTTAAGCCACTTCCGTGAACCATCATACTAGTATCAATTGTAACCATACAAAATTGTTTCCATAGTTCATGTATGATCCCTCTCTATAGTAATTAGTCTTCACAGAGCTGTGCAAATCTGAAAGTTAATCCCTCAAGCACGCTATAGACTAGTGATTTCGTGTGGTTATTTCTCACAATCACATCTAATAATCAAGATAGCAACAGCATAACAGATGGAATTGTCTGCATAATAACCTCCAACTGATAATTCTCCGACGCACCACAACATGACAAACTAATGCAGTAGGACCTCCCTAAAGTAACAAATACGGTTGGGTTCAGTCCCAAAGCTCTTATACCACTTGGTGGGCTTTTCAAAGCCCTGCACGTGACGGAAGCACACTCACAGTCACATGCACACACCAAAGAAAAAAATACAGATTTTACGTGGTTCAGCACAAACCTACTTCCGTTAATGGACAAGAGAGGAGAAAAATAATTTACTAAGTCAGTCAAAGAGTACAAAGACACTCATTCTTTGGTCGACTATACCCTCCCCTCCCATGATTTTGCTTGATGTCACCCTAGATCGGCCTAACAAACCAATCAAGTGACCTCTATTCCCCTTCATATTGAACCCCACTCGGGATCACTAAAGGTAATTGACTTGGAGGCTTGAGTTGAGGGATCGTCAAGGTTATCCTACTCCCCTCTAGATGACTCCACTTTGACCCACCTTACACTACAACAAAAAGTATATTTTATAGCATTTGTTTATAGCATTTTTTAAAAAATGTTATAAAATAAGAGGCATTAATAGCATTTAGTAATAAAATGGTGTAAAAAATTATCTGATCGTACCATTTTGTTTTTTATAACTTTTTTTTTTAATACTTTTGATAGCAATTAAAAGCCAATGATATATATTAACTAATTTGGAAGCGTATTGTAGATTTTATAGTGTAAAATAAACGCTAAAAAAGCCTTCTAAAAAAATTTACTTTAAACGTGCCCGCCTTTTTTTTTGGGTCGGTTTTCAGCCTCGTGATTTCCCTCTCCTTGTTTCTTTGCCCTATGCTTCTTTCTTCCTCTGTCTTGTTCAAGGTTTCTGCTATAGGGTTTGTTAAGAGCAATTCCTCAATCAAGGTAATTATTGTTCAAAAAAAGTCTAGGTAATTCTCTTCCCCTGCCTCTTTGTTCAAATTTGTAAAACGCTAACCTATTTTGTGTAATCGATTAGAATTTTGGATCAACATGGGTATGGTTTTTATATATCTAACACAAAAGGATACAAACAAACTAAATTGTGCAGATCTTATGAAATAGATACAGACGGATCACCTACTCTTGATAGGTTATTTTTTTGACACTTCGTATTTATTAATCATCGTCTTCTCTTCCTCTGCTATTATTTGGGTTTTGTGATTTCGATTTTGAAGTTTTCTTTTTGCTGAATATTTTAATGGATAAATTAGTACTGGATGGGATATTGATTGCTTGGGAGAAAAAAATCTTAAAAGTGTTTTTGGTCCCAACACGAACGATGGGAAAGTTGCCTTGCATATTTTCTTTAATATACAATCAATAGTCTTCATCTTGGAAAATTATTTGGCGGTCTTGCAACAATTTTATATGGTGCTTTAACTTAAGTTTTTGAAGAAATTGTCAATTAGTAGGAAGTGGGATAAATATTTACAGGGAATCTTTGTAGGGTGTTTTTATTTATTTATTTTTATTATACAGAAAGAGTTGCATCTTCATATATTTGTAAATATTTTTATTAATTAAAATAGTGAAATCCATCACTTCTGTGTTATTTTTTGAAGAAGACAAGAAAAATATTATGAGATGAATGATATGAAATATTGTTTCAAGATTACCAAATAACCTATTATTTTTATTTTTTGCCTTTTATTTTGTTGTGACATATGTCTTGTTTGTTGACTATCATGGTTTTTACACGTCTGGCCTATTTTCAATACCTATGTTGTAAATTGTGATATCTAGTTCTAGTGGGCAATTTCCATTCACCTTGGCGTCTTGGTCTTATTTTTTTAATCAGGAGCTAAATTAATTCTATATTCAACCCACATCAATTAATTATATTAGCTGATTTTGTATATATTTATTGCAATCTATTTGTGTGGTTTTCTCAAGTGATGTACATGCAGGCAATCACGCAAATACATATAAGAAATGATGGCATGTCATCATGAAAAATGGCCCATAGGAGTAATTACATATGTAAGATTGAATGTTCTACTCATGTTATTTTTATTGGTTTACAATTGCAGGGGGCTGCTTGCAAGTATTTTAATTTTGACTCCTTTTGTTGCCAAGTACCTTGTTGTCATGGAAAGAAACATTTATCAGAACAAATTCTTGCAGTTAATCCAAGGTATATACGTGCTTCTAAAATTAGTTTGTCCTACTAATAATAACAATAGTTTTTTTTTCCTTGTAATTTTTCATTTGTTTTATTACTATCATGTTGTACGATTTTGATTGTATTATATGGTGAGTCCACCGAAAAGTTTGATATGTCTTTACCTTGAATGTGATCTTGAAACTTATTTCTCTGAGTATATTGTTTAAATTTGTTTCTTGATTAAGAATTTTATTTTCATTTTGCAGTTGTTGCCTTTGGAAAGTAGAGGGACTAAACTCATCACAAAAGCAAGCTTGAAGGATGGGAAATTTGTAATTGAAGAAGTGTATATTTGAATAACTAGTTTATTTTTATTTGTACATGGCTATGTTTTGTCCATTAGCATCCTTTGGAAACTTAATTTTATTGCTTTATTAAGACAATGTATGACAAGTTTGTGTAATTATTTCAATCCTTTTAATGAAGTTTGTGTAATTACTTTCAACATTGATGTTGAATGAAAATATGAAATTTTATTTTATAAAAAAAGAATTACAATGATAGCAGGTAAAAAACTATTTCATGATGGTATCAACATCATGTATAACAACATTTGCAAATTGTTATGAAAGAGAATTTGTAGCATGATAAAATTACTATGGTTATAATTCAAGAGCATTATTAGAATGCTACGGTATTCTTTTGATAGCGTTCATGTACAGCACTCGATAAATGCTATTGAAAATTATAGACTTTTAATAACATGGGCTAATATAGCATTCCAACAAATGCTATTATTTACTTTTGATAGCATTTTTTGCACGTTATAAAAAGTGATATTTGTTGTAGTGTTAGAGGGAGGGGAGACTATGACTAAGGCATGTAACTCCTTATGCGTCATATCTACCTACCTTTGCAAAACCATGACACAACGACGAAGCCAAAGGACTAACATACCTATATACACCCATTGCAATCTTATGATATGACCTCCGAAGTGTGATAATGGTACAATGGATAGTTGGAAAACATTTGGATTGTCGAACTAGCAGTTAAGTCATTTGTCCTCCAACATGGAACAATAGTTCAACTCCCTCATATAAGGGGTTCTCCATAGATGCAAGACAATACAAGCTACAAGCTATGAAGCACGGACACCTCTTCGAGGGCCGTGTATCAGTGTCGGTCATGTATTGGACACGGACACGCAATAGACACCGAAACGCTACAGAAAGTGTCCCCCCCTCTTTTTTTTGTAGGTGGACACGTTCAGGACACCGCGGAGTGAAAAATATAATTTCCGAAACTTCAAGAGGGGGTCAATTTGTAAAAAATAAAAATTCAACCAATGAAATCAATTGCTAACCTAGATGTCGAACAGAGAGAAGAGGAGAGACCGAAAGATAGGCTCGTCGCTGGTCAGTTGTCGCTGGTCGATGCTCGCTGCTCTTGCTTTTATCAAAGGTATGTTGCTCGATTCTCTTCTTCTTCGTTCGATCTTTTTTGCTTTTTCTTTTTCTTCTTCTTCTTCTTCTCTCTCTCTCTCTCTCTCGCTCTCTCCAATGTTTTAAAAACCGAACCGGTGAGTAAACTGGAAAAGAGATCGGGTGGACAGGGTCACTGGTTCAATCGTCAGGTTAAACCGGAATCGAACCGTGATGTCATAATTATTTTATAAATATTTTTATGATTTAAAAATAAATAAAATATTTTTATTAAAAATGTTTTTATAATTAAATATATACATTCATCAAACATATATGTTTATATATATATTTATATTAATATTATTTGTAAAAATATTAATTATACATGTGTTTGAAGGAAATTAATTTGAATACTATTAATATTATACATTTCCTTAATATTAATAACGAACCAAGGTGGCAGAGTGGCAATTCATGTTCTTTAGAGCTTGAGGTTTGGGTTTAAGTCCCTTTAGCATCAACTTTTTCAATATTGGACCAAATATAGCAAACTGGTCCGGTTCGCTTCAACCCAGACCGGGTTGACCGGTTTAACCGCGGTTCCCACCAGTTTTGCTTAAAATGGTCACTTTTCAAGAGGGACTGGGTTAGAAGGTATATCCGAACTGGATCATGGACCGGTCGACGGTTCAACTGATCGAATCAGCTGGCCTGGTTTGGTCTGGTCCGGTTTTCAAAACATTGGCTCTCTCTCTCTCTCTCTTCTGTTTTGTCCTCTCTTCGACTTTTCTTTTTCTTTTTTTCTTTTTATGCTGATTCTAACCCCCCCTCTCTCTCTCTTCTTATTATTTTTTATTTTTGTTCTTCAAATTTTTTTTTTTGGCTTTTCTCTCTGTCTCTCTCTTATTTATTTATATTTTTTTTTTACTTTTTTTGCTGATTAGTTTATAAGAACAAATTTGTTTTATTAATTTTATTATAAGAATCAATTTTTTATAATTTTATAACATATAATAAATAAATTTAATTATATATATTGAACGTGCCCCCAACATGTCGTGTCTCTTATTTTTTGAAAATTTACGTATCCGCGTGTTCGTGTCGTGTCACGTGTCCGTGTTCGTGCTTCATCGGCTACAAGCTACAAGCTACAAGCTAGCAGCCCTCCTCCAACAAGTTCATGTGCTCTCTCTCCCTCCACCTTGTTGATCTCTTGTGATCTCAGTGCCTACAATCTTCCCACAAAACTCGACTCCGGCCACCTCAGAGTCAAGGCCAACCTTCCACAAAATGATTTTTCTAAATTCAAGGGCAGGAAGGGAATACGAAATGCAACCCAAACATCACAAACCCCCTCCCCACCAAAAAGGTAAAATTAAAATAAAAAAACTAAAAGTATATTTATCTTATATGTTCATTTATCTCAACATATATATTGTAGTGTGTGTAAGATCGTTCCCTATGACAAAAATCGTAGCCACCATCATCAGAACCTGAGCTTTTCCGGTCCTTAAGACAAATTACCATAAGCTGATTGCATTCATTAAATTTTATTTGCAAGACTCATGTGATGACTTATTTCCAAATACATGACCAACCAAACACCATGATGGTGACCTCTCAACATACCCAACAAACCAAAGTTTCCATTTTTATTTTAATAATAGATAAACTATACCCAGTATGCAATTAAGAGTGAAAAAACCAATACAATGATCGAACAACAGAAAGATTTAATTTGCAGACCCTCTGAAAATAGAAAAAAAAAAAAGAACCGTTTTTCAACAAAATTGCAAATGAAAACATAACCCAAAATAGAAAAACACATGATAAAGTAATACAAAATCAAATGATGAATTAATACAAGAACAGAGATATAGATAGATGTGTGTGCTTATATATATATATATATATATATATCAATCTAAAGAGAAACTCACGGCGACTTTGGACTCGCAAGAGTGCTCATCTTCGAGATGAGAGCACAGAGACACAATATCATAGTCCTCGTAACAGTAAGGACATGGGAATTCGGGTCTGACCTCATCCTCAACCTCTAAATCGTCGATGTTCAACCGATCTGAAAAAACACAAAAAACATAGTAAACAACAAATTGTTTTTAAAAAGAAAAAAAAAAACCAAATCAAAATCAAAATCTGAAAAATAAAACGAACCCAGTTGGGAGCTGTGATGATGGTGGTGCTGCAAATTGAATTGCCGCTTGGCAGCGGCGAGCCGAGAGGTCCAGAAATCAGAATCCATAGAGAGAGAGAGAGAGAGAGAGAGAGTAAATATTTAATAAAAATGGGTGTTTTTTTTTTTGTAATTTTTATGTTTGAGAGTTGTTTGACTTTGTCTCGATGTTGGAGGTTGATCTAAGGAAGATTCGGAGCTGACGATGCTATTAAGGATAGAGAGAGAGAGAGAGAGAGAGAGAGAGAGAGAGTGTGTGCGTGTGAAATGTGGTGTTGATTAGAGAAGTTATTGGTTGGTGGTATGGTAGCGGTACGTGTACTGTAATGATAAGATGCTATTTATAATTTTGTATTACGTAATTAAAGAATATGATAGAGTATATTACGTAATTAAAGAATATGATAGAGTATAAGGTCACTTTTGTATATCCTTTATTTTTTAGAATATATAGGGTATGTTTAGTTTGTGTTTGAGAGATGTGTTTTAGAGATAAAAAGTACGAAAAGTTATTTGGTTTGATTTTTTTCAAAAGATGTTTTGGAAAATTATTTTGAGAGAGAGTTTTGGAAAAAGTGATTGATTTGATGTGTGTGAGAGAGAGATTTGTTTGGAAAACTTGTTTGGTTTACAAGTTTTAAGAAATTTTTTTGAAAAAATTTGTTTGGTTTGATTATTTTTAAAAACTTATTTGTAGAGAAAATTTTTCAAAATTTTTTCAGAAATACAAACCAAACGAACCCATAATCTCACCAGATATTATATTTTTTAAAAAAAAAATTATAAATATGGAATATATGAATTCTATCAAATATAATATTCAATCTCAATCTTCATATCCCCCAATCAAACAGAGCCTAAGAGCCTTTAATTAGCTTTAGACATGATTATGTGATGTTTATAATCAAGTACTTATTTTTCGTTTATTTATGTAGCTATAAATGACAAGAAATAATGTTGCTAGTTTAGATGAAAAAAAGTTATTGATCATGATATTATGACAAATAGAAATATTAAACTTATAAATTTATATTGAATAATTGAGAAATATAAAAAAATATAATGAATTATGATGAGGTATCGGTTCCCGGGTGGATGGGTCGGACCGGCCCAGGCTCTTCTCAGGCTCCGGCTCAAGAAGGAGACTCCGTCAGATGACCTGCATGTAAGTTCGGGGGGGGACGGGGTAGTCCCCCAGTGAACCCTCCGGTGCAAGAATTAGTAGAGCAGAGTATGAAAAACTGTATATCGAGAGATCAAGAGAGAGATAACTTCCCCTTTTTCTTTCCTCTTATCCTTGCTTATATCCTTTTGTCATCATTTTTCCTGTCTCCTGTGACGTGCTTTTTTCCGCCGAAAGCCTGTGCCATAGCTCATCTTGTTTAGGGTGATGGAGGCTCTGTTCCGGCGGGGAGTGCTGTTGTAATAAATGCTGTGATGGGTCGCATTAATGGTGATGTGTTGTGATAATAACTCTGCAGATCTTTGTCTGCTGATGTGGCCCGTGTCCCACCTGCCGTGTGCCTAAATGCCGTTGGCCCTTCATGTCTAGGTGGCCTCCAGCTGTTCTGGGCCTTGTCAACCGGGTTGTGCCATTGGCCCCAAGCGATGGGTTCGGGGTGGTTTGCCGTGGGCCGTATGCCTTGTGGACCTATCCATGTCAAATTATAATTAGTGTAAAGCATAGCCACGTAACGTCTTAGGGCTATCAATAATTTTTCCCCTGATGAGAGAGAGCTATTGTGGGATTACTATTTTCTTGTTTCAAAGGTTTTCATTGTTGGCAAATGTAGACAAGAATTCCAAAGAATGGTTTAATGTTAAAAAATATGTGAAAAAATATTTTTAAAATATATAAAAAAAAATTAAAATGTATTAATTTTAATAAAATTCTATTAAATTTAAATAAAAAGTGTGTTCTATTTTTTAATTCTTTTGTCTTTTATTTGTGCACTAAGAATACTTGTTGACAAGATCCTTTAATTCTTTGTGTGTTTTTTACCAATTTTTTTTTTTCTTTCCTTTCCTCCTACATTTGAAGACTAAGATGATTTGTCTGTCGTTAGCTAATTATTTGAACATTTTTTTGTGGTAAATTACATTTTATGTTTTTAATTTTTTTTCAATTTATTTTGAAAACTATCTTATATATAAAATTAAACAAAAAAATGTTACGTTAAATACAATATGATATAAAAATATATTATTATATTAAAATTTGAATTTATATCAAAAGTGAGAGTTATTATATAATGTGAAGAAAATTGGAATTTTTTTGGTATAATTTTGTACATAAGTTAGTTTTTAGAATAAATTGAAAAAAAAATTAAAATATGAAGAGTTAAAGTGAAAAAAAAAATTTAAATGATAAAGTGAAAAAATGATTAAATATAAAAAGGGTAAAGTGTAGGTTTTTTTTTTTTTTTGGTAGCTTGATTAATTTTAGATCATAGTAAAATATGATGCTCCTTCCTTTGTATCTCTCTATTTTCAAGATCAAAAGTGACTACTTCTTTTTGTTTATTTTGTTTTTTTTAATTATTAATTTAATGGTTTGAAATGAATTTTTTTAAATCATTGGGGAATTTCAAAAACGAAATTCAAAAGATTTTGAGTGTTTTTCAAAACATTTACCTTTGAAAGACTTGAACCAAATTTCAAAATTTATCTCATATTAAAAAAAATGATAAATTATATTTTATGCTCTTGAACTATCACAATATCACAACATCTAAAAAAACAAACTTCACAATATCACTCCACCTCTTTCAATTAAAAAAGAGTATTGCTATTTATCGTTATCTTTTTAGTTTAGTAGGGCTGAGTAATGAATTCGTGAAATATGTAATTTGATCTAGTCCAGTCCAATTCGATAGGTTTGGATTGATTTTTTGAACCTGTGGTTCGGTTGCGGATTGAGGAATTAAAAATCCGTAGTTCACGGATTGGTTCCGGATTGAACTCCACGGTTCCGGATTGGAACCGATCCGAACCACATACAAATAATCTATATTTTTATTATACATCATCCCCCATAATATCTTCTCTTATTCTATATAAAACCTAAACTCAAACCTAAACCCGTATAATATCTTCTTTTATTTGTTAGTTTTTAGTTTTAATTTGTAATGGTCTAAATACTTTTGGTGAAACTAGTTTTCTTGTGGTTGTTTAAATTCTAGAATAATATGCCGCTATTATAGAAAAATATGTTGCTATTGTGGAACTAATATAGCGTTATATTTATGTTTTTATGAAATTAAAGTGTTATATATATATATATGAGAGGGCAATTTATGTGAAAATTGGGCCAAGCTGGGTAATGGGTCATTATGACCCACAACACGAAGGGTTGAGTAAAAAGGTCGTAAAGTTACTCCAACCCGAGAAAGGTATAAAGTTACTCCGGCCTAAGAGAAATGTAATTTTACTCCGGTCCGGAAGCGACTTGGAGTTAGGCCGGTTGAAAGACGCTTTGAAGTTAGACCGGTCTCAGAATTAGCCCGGTCATGGCGTATTGTGGTTAGAATGGTTAGAACCTTACTATTCGGTAGCTCGATCTAATCACACCATGGTTTGTACATGAGAGAACCGAGATAAGGTGTAGTGAAAGGAATAACCAAACTAAGGATAGTTCGGCCTACTATGCGGCCCAGTATAGCCATGATTACCTCGATCCTATTAGAGACCTACCATGGTAGAGCCATCTCACTTGGTTTAAGCAGTGAGGGGGTGTTGAAGGATAAGCATTATCTTTCAGAAGTATGAATCCTAGGAGGACTCTGCATGGAGAAGTAAAAATCCTACTAGGATTGTGTCACACGAAACCTATAAAAGCTCACAAACATCACCTTTGGAGAGGTAACACACAACTTTGCTTTCTGAATACGCAGAACTTTTGTCTATTGGTCAAGCTTACTGACTTAGGCATCGGAGAGGTTTCCGGCACACACCCGCCGGCTAGCTCACGTTTGTGTTTTCAGGTGTTAAAGCGACGACGTACAGAGGAGCGCAGACTTGATCAACAGGATTATACGAGAAGGTTTATTTCTTTCCTATACAATTGGCGCCGTCTGTGGGAAAATCAGACAAGATAAAACTTCTTGATCAAGCTTTACCTCTTTAGGAACAATGGCGCACATTGAAGAATTACCACAGTCCGCCATCGACGGGCAAACACCAGATGGGGGTGTAAGGCATGAAGGATTACCTTCTATCCCTCCCATGGCGGACTTGGAGTCCCAACGACATAACTCCAGAAGAGATACTAGGGGGAGGCGAACTCACAGCCCCCGTCACTCTCATTCACAAAGTCCTGACAAGCAAAGGCGGAGGATTGATCCTCAAGTTTTGGAGGACCGCGTGAAGGAGCAAGACGAATTAATAAGGAAGATGGCGGCGGACATAGAAGCCTTGAAACGCCAGATGAAAGGAAAAGGAGTGGCGACAGGAGAGGGGCACAAAAACAAGATGCCCCCTCGCCGCTCAGAAGACCATGGAAGGCATTCCACACCATCACAAGCAGAGAGTAAAAGCCTCAGGACAGGCGATACTCAGTCTAGAACCTCTAGAACTCGTTACTCCAGGTCTAAGAGAACGAGATCATTGAGGTCTTACACAGAGGAAAGTACCTACCGACCCTCATACTCGCACCAAACATCATCCAAACAGATGGAGTTACCCAGATCATCCGATTTGCGAATCATGCTGGAAGAAAAGGCACGATGGAAAGAGGACACCAGGGCGCGTGACCCTCGTAGAGTTTCTGCCCTTTAACAATTGGCTCCTCAATCGCATGGAAGCGTCGAGGTTGGAATGCCATTACCACGCCCTGCCTACGAACCGACGGACAAAGCATTAGCGAGGCTGCAGACCTCGCCGTTCGTTCCGGCAATTGAAAACGCGCCCCTACCTATAGGCTTCCTTCAGCCCAAATTTACTACGTACGAGGGGAAAACGGACCCCTACATTCACCTAAGCCACTTCCGCCAGGTTATGGCGGTATATCGGCGAAACGAGACTCTAATATGCATCCTCTTCCCGTCAAGCCTTGGTGATCTAGGCTTGACTTGGTTTGAAAAACTTCCAGAAGGCAGCATAGCCTCCTGGGCGCAATTGGCGGAGGC